AAAATGTTATTTTCTTATCGGAGATACGAAAACAAGCAGTATGCCAGCAAACCCATAAGATCGGTGTCTCTTATGATATATGAAAGCACACAATGTGCAGGAAAATCAAACGAGATGTGCTCCATAAACACGGCCTTGTTCAGCTCATCTCAGTGATGACATGTAGCATTCATATATTGCACATGTTGAGATACCATGGATCCGAGGAATGCCTGAATGGTGACCTTATTCATAGGAAAGCAATTGGGTAGTTCAAATGGGTCACACAACCGGGTGTAATGACTAACCAGTCATTTTCTATAACGGTGTAGGTATAAATAAACTGCATTTGGTTACGCAATATAGCTTGTAAACATAAGCGGTTTTTTATACTAGCCAATCCGTGATGCTCGACTTGATAATTAATTCGCTTTATCGTGTATCAATGTGTACATCAAAAGAAGAAGGAACGAGTTGATTTGACAGGGCTGTTAATTTTTTTGCTAAATTGAAATTTATATTTGAGAATGTTTCAGATGTAATAAGCATATTTCTTTCATTTTGAGAATTTTCATGTACTGATAAGGAATGTAGTATACGAACATCAAATCCTTAATGCTGCATGAGATTGAAATTTACCAGCCAAGTGCATAAATTCGAACTCATTGTGAAAAGAATGCAAAAACCGGAAACATGTGTGATTTTCCGTTTGGCGGATGACAGCGCGCCATAAGCCGCAGGCAACACTTTTTTCCACATTTTTCTGGTCTACTACGACCAGCTGCTGCGGTTGAATGTCATCGCTTTACATTGCTTGAAAGCATCCATCCAGCATCGACCATTCGTCTAGTTCACAAGTCGTTTTATTCTGTTCATAACCACTGCAGGAGCATGAAATGAGTTAGCTATGCATTCTTTGGGAACCAATATTTAAGGAGACTCTAATTCTTTCACAAGATGGTATCGGTGAGTATTTGTTCAATTCGGAATTTCTTTCAAGGTTTCACATCTGCTCTATTCCTTAACGCTACTGCCATATTAGCCGACTCTTTCCAGATCTATGAAATGACTTTGCGATTTAACACAACACAGAAAACGTGTTTAGCCTCGGATGCGATCCCTCAAATCTATAGTTAGATAGATCCTATAGATCCCTCGCTACGATGATGATGCAGAGGTCAGAGCTGTCACGTGTTTCAAAGAACAAATTCTATGTTCATTTTAACCACTGATTCGTTCATTTCTCATCTCGAAATCGTCACCGCTAGTGTAGCGTCGGCGACAGTAGGGCACGATGGCATATGTCGGCTAGGCAGTGCCATTCAGATAGCACAAACACGAGAAGAAAACATGAACGATCACTGCACCATGAGGAAAACTGCTGCACAACTGACTCCTCGCAACACGTTCAGTTTTTGGCCCTGGCCGGTGGTCATTTTATAAAATTGGACGTCCGATTGACTTCCTGCAAATACCCGCTTACTTTCGGTTATCAAATATACAATCAACGCGAATCTGAAACATTTTCTTTGCGATCACCTTAACTCTAGGAATAGCCAAGAGTGTGTGCAATTTAACGCCAGCCAATCACAGGAGGTTTCATGCTCGAATATTCAGTGCCTTGTTGATAGGAGCAGACATGTCTGCTTTTCGATCCACACAGGGCTGTTCTTTCGCTGTAGACTAATAGGTGAGGTCGCTACAACATATGTTACATGCATACTTCGAGAGTTTGCTATAAAATACATCGTTCTTATTGTCAAAAGGATGAATGCAGATATCTATCTGGCACTATCAAGCAGAGAGCGATATATTCCACGCAAAGATAAGATTTTCTGAAAATGGGAAGCAGGAAAATAGTTCCTTTGCCTGAAAAATATGGGACACGAGATTATAATTCAGATATAGCGCCTGTTGTACGAACAGTGCCACACTAACTGCCGGTAGCTGTTGCTAGGCAGGAAGGAAGGCAATTAACACAGGGAATAACTTACTCGGCATCGTATCCTGGAGTCGTATTAGTGCTAATTAAATTAATTGCCGTTCCGTTTGATGTCCGCGACACAAAAAGTGTATTCTATTTTGATACCCCATCTTTAACACAATTTTAAAAATCTGTTTGGCTAAAAATAAATGGAAGTCTAAAGGTGAGATCAACGAGTTTACAGATGGATTACGAAAGCGAGTTAAAAAGACTGACCTTCGTGGAAAAAGTCATTGAGTAACTTTTGCCCTCAACCTTTTGGAAAAATTTGAAAGAAGGCGGATTATGACACTAGTGCTAAAGAATAAACAGACATAGAATTGACGTATTTCAGACCAGTCAAATCTGAATATGATTATGTTTCCAATGTATAGATAGCGTGAACCTGCAAAATGTACAAAAAGTTGTCAAGTTAACAATTCCAAATCAGCATGCTTAGGTTTGTCGGTAAAATAATATTTTCAGACAGTTTTTACATGAGAAGATTTTGCAGTCATGTCATGAATTTGTTATTATTCACAAAATTTTAGCTCATTATAGCACATAGCGATTATAAAGTCATAACTCCAACCTACTCTATTGTGGCATGTATTCTTGTAAATGTTTACGGGAACTGAATTGTCTTCTCAGTTGGAACAGAAATCCTAATATGGGATAAGAAGTTTTCATCCGTTTTTACAGATTGTTTAGCTCTTTAATCGCAGGGCAGGAGGTTTTTCTCAAAGAGGCCGTCTCTCCATCAATCCTGAAGGCTTCATGATGAGATTTTAAAAAATGGTCCCATGTTCCCGACAAAATCAAGCCTTCTGCCTTCTGGTCGCCGTTTGGCCAACTTCATGTGGTACACACACGAGAGTTAATCTCGCAACTCTCATATTTGGAATCCTGGTTTGTAAATCATAATCGGTGTGATATATTTATCGCAATAACAAGCGGCTCTCAAGTGAGGGCACAAGATTTCCCTATTCACATCGAATTCGTTACTCGTGTCAGCACTCCCAATTCTGAATTTGCCTGAGTAGCCGTACAAAGTGAAATGCGTCATTACTGCAATAACGATGATGATGAAGAACACATTTGACCAAATTTCATACTACTATTCCCTTCGCTAGTACTTCTGCAGTTAGCCTTCCTCTTTCATATATTTGTCTAGAAATGTAATGTGGCTAAGTACCATATGAGAAGCACACCATCATTTTCAGCTCTTCTGGAAAGCAAAGTGAAGTATAAATAATGTACTTTGAAGTTGACAAATTCGCAGCAGGTTCACATAAAAATGTTCGAGATTCTGACTTCATAGCTTGAAGCAATGAAGTAGTATAAAGTAATTATTTAAATTTAACTTTTCAGCAGGACTAGAAAAATGTAAGTGCTAGGCCATAACAAGGAAGTTAAAAAACTCTAACCAAACCTATTTTGTGGCACGTTAAGGAGTCAACGCTGTCTGTTTAAAGGGTATGGGACGCAGCGGAGAAATGCAGTCTTTTGGGATAATTACGGAAGGTATTATATATTCCTTGTGTAGCGCTTTAATTAAGATCTCCTCTTCCATGTCGGCTGCAGCAATCACAGCTTCGCTCTCACATTGCTTCAAGGTTTATGATACGTGATTACGGCTACCATAACAGTCCTGAGATATATGCTTCTCCACGTTCCGCCACGTCATGTGATCCGTACTCTGGTCGCTAAAGTCCCCACCCCACCGACCTAGGCGGCGATTTTTATGCTGAAGTATGAACAGCCAACCATGAGTTGTAGTGTAGGGAAAGAACGGCAATTTTGCCTACAACCTTTTAGATATGTACTCTAGAAATTTTGCAACATTGTATTGTAGAAATGTCGAAATTGCAGTTGCACATCATTGTCTATCTATTGTTGTGCATTAAAACCCTAATGATAAACAGAGTAGCGGCGGCCGGAAATGCTGGGCTTACAAATAAAACTGTATTAGCTTCTGATAATTGAAAGTGAAGGTTCCCATTGAGAATCCCATTCTTTGTCACATTGTTGTAAAACCTAACCGTGAGGAAAATTGACAATCTTCAAAAATATTTCGTTCTACACTTGACACATTGGTTTGCATAATAATGAACTTTGTGTTCTTGTCAGAAGTCTAAGACATGGCACGTTTTACTACTTCATTTAATCCGGTGGTATTCCTAGTTTAAACGCTTTACTGTTTGTACTGTCTGACAGTTGCGAGTGATAATAACGCACAATTCGATGTAAACCATTGGTTCTTGGTGAATTACTGCTTATATTTGCCTAATTTGGATGAAAGTTGCATTCTTTCTGCACGAGCAAGATCACTATTTCCATCCGAATAAAAAATGACAGTGCAAGTTTAAAAATTACAGTAAAACTAGGACAAATAAATAGAAAGGACTGGGTGACTCGGTGAATTCACTTCTGAGGAAATAGAGTATCGTCAACGATAAACTATTGCTGTTAAGCGCAACATACGCCTGTCGCTCTCATTCGTATTGCCAGTACCATGGTAGCTAAATGGGCGTTGTCTTGCGACGCGCTTGGTACCACCTTTTCATTAAGGTTGCCTGCGACACTGTTGCGCCATGACGCAACAACACGCAGGCAGCTTACTACAAGCAGTCATAAAAAGCTACTTGGTCACTGTCAATCGAAGCATTTGTTAAGGCATGGGCGACAATGATATTAAGCATTGCCTTTCTCAAGTTTAGGCGTAAATCAGAGATTTTCACTGACATCTGTTCCATAGAAATGACCATACAGTTTACTCTAGCGGACAAGAAGGTGCTCATATCAAAACGGCGCAATCTGTAGTCTCAATATCAAAATGACCACCCATCTTGCAGATCACTACCCCTCCCTCACCCTTCCTGAAAGATGTCCTTCGTTTACTGTCAGTACGTTCATTTTGTATAAGCAGGTGGTACGACAGAGTTCAACTTATTTTCTCAAAGCCAGAAACAAACGTTCCAACAGGCAACATGGAATATGCCATAGTTGTATGGTATAAATTTGGTAGACTGTACCGCAAGCTTCTTGAGCCATAGTTGCATGGTGCGTTGCATAAGGTAACCGTTCGCTAGAAAGTGCGCGAGCGATTCGTCTAAGCAAGCCAATCTTAGCCGCTTGTACCAGAGATCGAAATTACTATGCTATGGTGCAAAATTCATGAAGAAGGGTAACCATTGGAATGATGATAGACCTGAACACAGAGAGCTGACACTTCATACTCAGCTCTGCATTAATCACAACAGATCGGGCTTGTTCACTCAGGATGCCTCTGGCCATTCCAAATTTCCGGTCGATCCATTCCTCTCGTTTCCATCACCGATAAACGCGACTCAGAGAAACTTGAAATCCTCCACCTGCTCCGCTGCTTCTTCGTTTATTTGAAAAGAGTAACAGGCAACAGTACAAGAAGACACAAGTTCTTTGATTTTAAAGACTCGTGTACCCCCCGGCGACGTCGCACTCGGCTGCGAACCTTTCAGAATTGGTTTCAGGTGATGTCAACGAAATAAGGTCGTCTGCAAACAGGAATTTTCGTTCTCTGAATGTTAAACACTGCCGATATTCATCGCCTTCGCTGCACCATATATAACGTAAACGGAAAGGGGGACAGAGCGCAGTCTTGATAGAGACATGTGAAAATATTCAGAGGACAACGAGATTTATTTTCCCTAGCACCTGATATCAACATATAGTGACTGAATGGCTGTTAGAAACTAAACATGGATCTCTTATACTTGCAGGAACGTCCGCAGCTTACTGCGTGGGATCTGGTCACAACCTTTATCCAAATCAGCAAAGCATTTGCTTTGCGAATAAGCAAATTTTCAGTTTTTTCAACAATACAGTGCAAGGCGAAATTCTGATGACAGGTACTTAGCTACCTTCGCCCTACCTGTAGCGACACGGCTCTTCTTGGATCTCAAAATCAACCATTCAGTGGAACCTCCTTCTAAAACAACTGTGTAGACTTTTCCCAGGTGCTCAATAAGTTAATGACCTGATAAATTGAATTGTCCTTATGGTCTCCTTTCTTGAACAGGCTTACTCCCACCCCAGTTCTTCAGTCTACTGGTATTTTCCCCTTGGATATTGCCGTTATACACGACCTATCCCGTTCGCCTAAAGCTTTAAGAGCCTCACAGGGATTTCACCTATTTCAGCAACTTTTCCGCGTTTCGATAACCTTACAACTTCTGTAAGTTCATCCACTTAAATACTGATGTTCTTTATCTGCTGATTTTCAGGCGAGTCTGCCTGCATTTGCTGCTGGCTAAAGAGTTCTTCAGTGTACTCTCACTATCGTCGATGTAGATTCCCTTCCTTTCTAAAAGGGCTTATAGACATGTCTATCAGAATTCATAGACTGACCATCCCTCCATCCGGAGGAGGTGAACGCTCTGCTAGAACACCTTGATTGCCATCTGGAATTTTTCTTTAGCACTTGGGCTGAACTTTTCCAATAGTCAGCTTCCATTGCATCACAGCGCGCTTCTTCCTGTCGTATTTGAGTTAAACGCTCTTTGCGTTGAAATCACATCCTGATTGCAGCCTTCCACTCGCTGATATTCAGCTGCGCCTCTTCTATTCACTAGAAAATTCGTTTATCATTTTCAGGCGGCAGGCGAGACCTATTGAATAACAGCAATGGGTGGCAGCATCGAGTTAGCCTCAATTAAAGAGGTACCACTCAATTTCTACCCGGGCGTTTCCGCTGGAATCAATTAAAACAGTCATGCGATGTTGTTTGCAAGTTTGCATTCGTATCCTCCCAATCTAGAGTTTTCCATAATGATACTACGGTTATTTCTGGGGCCAGGTTTTCGCATGGTATTCACCGTTTGTGGTGAAAGGTGACGACCACAAATCCATGAAGGCTGTCACCTCTGTGCTTCTCTGATCGCGAACATCCATTACAGACCATCGTAAATCAGACGATACCATTATCAAATCCATCACCGAGTTATGTGCACAAGTTTTCCTATACCAGGTACAGTAGCGCCCGTTTCGACGCTGGAAGGAGGTGCTAATAACGGACCGGACTGTTTGTTGTTTGTAGAACACTGCAAGCAACATGTTTTTATTGCTGACGTCGCTAGAGCTGCTGTTTTCAATCAAACCTTCCCTTTTTCAGTGTCGGCTCTGATATGCGCACTGAAATGGCCCATTAGAACAATGGATTCCGCAGTTAGCTCTTTGCTACGTACTGCGACGCCACCTCCCTCCCATCCCCGCAGCCGCCAGAAAACATTATGCAAGCTCTGATCGCCGATCATTCGCTGCCCGCCTGCGTCTCCCAGCTGCCTATCCGGCCTTGGTAAACAGGACAACAACCAAGACGATATCCGTTCGATCACAGCAGTATATTGAGGGACGGATGGCAAACTTCTAAACGAAACCTCGGCCTTGCTCATCACGGTTTGGGACTGGTAACGTTGCAGTAATAAGACTGGCATACAAACGTGAATCTTTCGACCTGTGTAGCAAACCGGCTTGTCGCCTGTTCGGTCGAAAGATTTATCCTGTCATTAACAACCGATTTGATTCTTTCATGTGAGTGAATAATAAAATTCCCTCACGGTTGCTTTTCTTGGTGCTAAAAGATTTAAGAACTGTGAAAAGAAATGCCTCGCTTATAATCAAACCGAACAAAGGAACAATCACGCCTTTTTAAGGAACAGATTCTTTACTAAAACAAGTTATGATAAAACAACAGCCACAGGTTAACACTTAACGTCGCCAAACGATGTCTAGTGGTGCATCTGCTGAATGATTTCGTTCACTGTTCGGTGTTTCGTTTCGGGCACAAATTTATACGTGAAGAGCCCAAAAAACAGCAGCAAACCAGCAAAAACGAGAAACGTGTAATTTTGAAGTGCCATCTATAGAAAAACAGTGGTTAGATTTTCATGATAGGTGTACAAATGAATCATTATCATTTACCATCATCAAGGGGAACAGTTGGCCGACCAAAAACGCTCCACCCCAATTAAATGACGTCGCGATAGAGTTGGCTTTCGGTTTAGCGTTTGGCATGAACAATTCATGCACTAAAAACCACGGAATGGAGCCCAGGCCAATGCCGAAAGCTACAACGTAGGTTATGACGAAGACAACGCAAAGATAGGCAGCAAAGCCATATGATGCACTCTGAAATAAAATGTAGCTATTTACTGATTTCAAGCTACAATAACTGGCGAATGTCCTTCAAACCTTGAGAACCATGAAAACGGTGAGCAAAACACATGAAGAGCCCATCCCTCCAAGGCCAATTAGTAATAAAGTTCTTCGACCTGTACGATCAATAATCACCGTGGATATCAACGACACGATCACCATCATCGCTCCAACACCCAATGTGGCACCTTGAGCGCTCTTCTCGCTCAGGCCTACTTCCTTGTAGAAAAGAATGGTAGAGTAAAACATTATCTAAACGGTATTCGGCCATGATTCATGAACCTACGATATTTGTTTGCATACTCCGTTGATTCCGGAAAATTGCTGAGCCGCCATCATCATCAAGGCGATGAACAATGACCATCTAAGAGTCTTGTCCGTGAACAGAATCCGGTAAGTTACCTACAATGTACAAAGTTTATAGTAGGTACCAGAAGGCGGATTAGGAGTAGTCTGATATGTGGTTTGATTTGGTATTAAATTAATTGACTCATATTAAGCGATTATTAACAGCATTACTGTCGAGAGCATTGTCACTAGCCAGTTTTGATCCACTAGATGAAGTTTACTCTAAGTCTTTCCCATAGACTTCTGGTTTCTGCAATTCTTACCCACCTTGATTTAACGAGCTTCTTCAGCTCATCCTTTCATCGATCTGGAGGCCCTCATGCTTACCATTTATTCTCTTTTGGAACAATCGGAATAACTCACTGGTCCAGCAATAGTCGGTCCTTCTTGCAGCGTGTCCTGCCTATTGCCATTTCAACTTCTTCACTCGTGAAATGCCATCAGAGAAAATGTTTGTGCCCTTAACCATTCATTCGTCTTCCTATATTCCCATTCCTTAGACACTGAGCTAACAATAATTTAACTATTCCTAATACTGGACCATGAATAAATATTAAGACTCGTTTTGCATACTACTTCGAAAATATTTAGCGAAAACAAAGTGTCAGAGGAACACTAATACATAAAATCTACGAATAAAACATTCACACAGCTGACACATGCAATGCCTGCGTATCCCTATAGAAGTTGATCTTTGGAGTGGACGTATTAACAACATCAAATTTGGAGAAATGGACGGAAAAGTTGTGAATATGCTTAGAGTGTCAAATTAAAAATAGAAACGTACACAAATTTTTTTACTTTGA